CTTCATGGATCTGACTTTAAATTTGATTTCACTTTATCAAAATGCTCATTCCTCCCCATCCCCACGCAGTCCAAGCTGTGAGTCATCTCGTGTTGCTCGATAATTTCAGCGCCCTTTAGGGAAGAGGTAGACAGTGTATATTGATTGATTTGGGCTGGATATACGCTAAAACAAACAGATATCTTGTTCTAAAGATCAAATTCTTCACCAACTCTGGCGGCATTAACAAATGCAGCTGAGACTGGGCCCCAAAACACAGGCACAAGATAATTAGTCACACCAAGCTTGGAGTAGGAAGGGCAGGGAAGCAATCTGACTGAAGGATGTATTGATCCTGCAGAGAGGGAGGGGCCCCTGGTCAGGAGTCATGATCAATCTTGCGAGCCAACTCTCTCAATCTGTGATGAAACCTGTGTGTGTTTGTATGGGGAAGCATTCTATCTACACTATACACACTCTAAATACACATGTTGGTGTGTGTGTGTGTGTGTGTGTGTGCAGCCACATTAACACTACCAACAGCTTGGTGTATGACTTGTCAGAAAGAGACAAATGCCTGTGTGAGTAAAAGACTCCCAGGGGTTAGAGGAGGGGGGTTTAGTGGTACCACAACATCGGAAGCCTTTATCGTTGAGTTAAAAGCCATCCCTGAGCCGGAGATTCTCCCCATCAAACCGAGCGCTCCAAACCTTGGCACAGTGAGAGGTTTTAAAACTGGCTCAGGGAGTGATAGAAGGGGTAAATCTTCCCAAATATAAACTGTTTGCATATTGGTGTTATCCAGTGGCTGGTCACAGGTGGGTTTCATCTGATTAGACAGTGGTGATGCATATCAGGGGGTGCAGCCGACCAATTGCACTGTAATTCATCTTCCTCTGATAGGAGGAGAAGGAGGAGCTGGGAAAGGAGTGCAGTGGGACTGAAGTAGGTTGCAAAAGCAGCAGTCCTCCCTTTAGCTTCAAAAGATATGGGATCAATGTTCAGTTATTTCTTTTCGCATTTGGCAGGAAGGGTAAAATAAAGAAAAAAGATGCCGTGTGTATTTGTTTGTTTCTGGGTTGTGGGGGGGTGTAATAATGCTCAGTGCCGGCCTCCAGGGTCGGGTGTGTGGATCAGATATCAGACAGCATGCTAAGCTGCAGGGACACCCACAGCAGTGGAACTGTAGACGGCTAATTGACAGGCTGTTGGAGACGAAGCCGGTCCAGATAGCCAGTCACTTTCACGCTCCCACACTCCCCGCTCTCCACCAGGGGGAAGGTGGGTGGCACAGCGAGACGTGCGCGTGAGTGTGAGTGTGTGGGTGGGTGGGTATGCTGTTAAGGGGTGCGTGCAGACCCACTAGGGAGGTGGATGTCACTCTCACAGTCATCTGCACATGTAGACAGCACATTTTCACACATACACACAAACATATATATACACAACACTGAGAATGGAAGCGTGTGTGCAGGAGTTTTCACAGGACTTGCGGACATAGTCAGGGGTTGTATTTCTTGAGGTTACAGGGATGATCACACTTTCTGTCTTTCCACAGATGCTGGAAAACCACACGCCTTGTAAGAGAGACTGACGAAGTGGTGCGACCTTGCACCTGAAAGTTAGAAATGAAATCTGTGCATGGCAACACAGCCAGAAAATGTATAACTTGTTTTGCAATAGAAGTAAAGCCAGATCGCTCTACCGGACACGTTGTTGGTTTGGTGACTCATCTCTGTACAATTGCACCTTGAAGTCTTTCTCTGCATTGCTCGTACAAGCCCTATAGGTAAAATTCACACACGCCACACTCGAATACAAATATTATGAATATGCTTTTCCTTTTAAGGCTGTATGCATATTTTTTCTTTGCCAACAATGATTTTTTTCTTATGAACCACACAGGAGCAGCATACGTATTGAGATCAACTCACAATAATGTCCCTGATTGATTTACATTGATGTGGTTTAAGATTTCATCCCAGTATGAAGGATAGGACAAGCGGAGGGGGGGTGAATATCATCTATGGCTTACACTATTAAACTTTCAATTATCTATAAAACACACAATAGAGGCTTCAGTCAGTGTAATGACAGATTGCAGGTGGAGAGCTCTTCAGTGTTGTCCCCGTTAACCCAGGTTTTTATAGCTCACCTCGCATGCCACCCTATAGCTGTTTAGTTATCTCCATGAATATATGCAGAAGGGATCTGTCCTTGCTGAGAGCAAAATCTGATAATGCAGCAGCAAACACAGCAGAGAGTCAGAGCAAACCAATTCAGAGCTCTGTTTAAAAAAGAAAAAAAAAAGCCAAAGGGCTTGCTGCTCATCTCTGCGACAGCACAACACAATAGATGAACAATTATTCAGAGTTAGACTGGAAGAAAAATAATCTATTTATTCATGGCTTGTTGAATCAGCTTTATCTTCTGTGATTAATCCAAGTCAATAATGTAATCTTTAATTATAAAGAATGGCCTTATTACCTACGTCAAATAATCACGCCGGTCCACGATGCTGGGAAGGGGAAAACAAATTTCTCAGCTACGTGATTATGCGTTTTCCTGCCATAAATTAGAGGAGCAACACAATTTTGTTCTGGCCCAGAGACGTGTCGTTATTTAAATCTTTTGAACACTGAATGCACAGAAGCCAATTAATGATTTTCTGTAATAAACTGATAACTTAAAATGGAGGGCGAAAACATCATTTCCACACTGGATTTTTTGGTGATTCAAGTATTTTAAAGCACACAGTTCAGACAGTGTGTTTCGCCTAAATTTACCATTCAAATGAAATGATGAACTCAATTATGAGCAATTACTTGGATTTCATTGTGGAATAAAACAAAACGGTAAGCCGAGGTCTATTGCACAAAACAAGGTCTGTTTACAGAGGAGGCTAAAATGTCACAAAATATTTCCATTATATTTCATCATGCAAAATTCCCAAGAGCCCAACATCTATGTAGCTATTATCAAAATGAAACATCTGGAGCACACATGGTGATCAATCGAAAGAAAACACATTACAAGCAGCCGATCCTACAGGAGGGCCCCATGAGAGGACGAATAATGACCAAGGCGCGCAGGAGATGTGGGTTTGTACATGCTTGTGTGCAATTAATAGCACATGCACCACCTGTAATAATGGCCTTCCTGCTGTAACAAATGATGTGCAATTTGTAGTTACAAAATACACACTCACGCATACACAAACAGAGGAGTGAACGCGTGTGACCGAGTTTGCACTCTACTACTTTTACATTCTGCTCTCCTGCCTGGTCCCACAGCTCCCAGTCCATCCTCCCTATGCACTCCCAGTTTTGTTCCCCACCAGGACTCAGAGTAAGTGATTTGTCATGCGTGGAGGCAGCAAGTAGCCTGTAACAAATCTAACTGACAGCCCCCGAAAATGCAGATCACATAGCCGACAGAGAGGAAACAGCAGCTTCGGGAACTTTCAACAGGATCTTAATCTGTGATGAAGTCGCCCAGTGTCCAAAGAGAGCTACAGGACACTTCATAGACTGACACGGGACAGACATTTCCTGGATGTCAGAATTGTCTGCTAATTAATGTACTCAGAGAGGACTGAGTGTCAAAGTGTCGGAGGACATCGCCGTCAAACGTTCTAGAAGCACATTATAAACTTTTAGTCATGTTGTTGCTTCAGACTGAATTGCGTCAAACTTTTTGGCTCCCCTGAGGAGCATGACATTTTCTTTTGCCTGATGAAACAACTGAGAAAATCTCTTAGAGGGGGATCCATTCTCATGTCACAGGTAATTTTATGTTTTCAAGTGAGGGGTCGCCTTAAAGACAACAAAGAAAAAAAAAAAAAAATCCTCAATACGCTGCTGGAGAAACCCAGTGAGAAGCAGTGAAATGTCATTATTTCTTTAGTGTAATTTGGAACATTAGAGGTAATGTGGAGCCATCTCCGTGATAAGACAGAATCTTTAGGTCTCAGGAAGGTGAGCATATCAATGTTCAACATACCCTATTAAGACTTGACACCCACACTTTATCATCACTAAAGCAATTGCATATTCCTATTCCTGCAGGAGAGATGGGGAAATCCATCTCCGGCAAGGACAGTGCCTTTAATAAATAGTGCACAGAACACAGGCACAAACTCTCCCTCTTTCACCTGACCCCCTCTCTCTTTCTCTCCCTCTCTCTCACGCACACTTTCCCTCTCTCATGGAAATTGTTTCATTCCTTTTAGTCAATCTGGCTAATGCAAAAATCATGTATGTCTGTCTTTAAATATTTAATCTTAACAGCAGCAAGATTGAAATACAACGTTGAAGAAGCATTACTCCTTCCCTCCTGAAAGGTACAAGAGCTCAGAGAGAGAAAGCCAGAGAGAGAGGGAGAGAGGCAGCTGCTCTGCAATGTCAGAAAGAGAGAGGGGGAGCGACAGGGAGAGATGGAAAAGAGAGGAAGAAGAGACTCGGCTATTTTCGATGACAATTTTGTTGCCATGCACTCTCAGCTACTGGAGTTGGAAGCAGCATTAAAGCACAGTTTGCCTTAGAAAAGTATACAACCACATACGACAGCTCTCCATTTCTCTCTTTCGGGAGCAGCCTTTGTTCTTTGACATAATAGATTCGAGTACAGGCTGAAACACACGGCTGTAGAGAAGCACTGTTGCTGCTTAGAACTTAGTGAGACGAGATACAGCTCAATGACTGAGCCAAAGTCATGAATCTTGCATGCAGAAATGTATCGTGGGAACCACATGGCCCCTGGAGATGAGTACACGCACAAAGAGAATTTCAATTCCTCTTGCCTTAAAGTATTCATTTTGCTTTCATGCATATCGGAAGTTTTGTATGAACAAGACAAGTCTTGTAAAGCTGTGTTTGTATGATTCCTAAAATGTGAAAATGTTGCTTTTACTGAACTTGTTTTACACAGAAAGTTTTCATGAAACCAATAAATCACAATGGTGTAATGCAATATGATAGGAGCTTGGCAAAGACAGAACTTTGAGAAACTTTTTCACTCACCACAGAGAAGTCCTCGACTGAACAGTTCTGTCCACTGAAATTGCAGCTCATGAGCATCTCTTCTAACTGATGTCCTGTCCTGTTGAAGATGTCCTGCATGTCAGGGGCAGGATACATTAAATCAGTGGGTTTGTGCCCATCCTTGTTTTTGGGGGGCAGACCTGTCAAGTTAGCCAGGTGGTAGATGTCGGCATCGGTGAGCGCGGAGAAGCGAAAGCGGTTGATGTTGCAGATGGTCACAGCGGGGAAAACCATCTCTGGGGTCGCCTCCTCATTCAGAGCCGTGACATGAGGGTGCTCCAGGTAAGAGATGGCACACTTAGCTGCTTGGTATAGAAACAGCGCCAGTGAAGTCAAAAAGGCAAGTGCCCAGAGAGTCTGCCGGATGCCCAGGCGACCAGAGACAAAGATGTGGTTAATCCCATGAAGAGAGCAGGAGTTAGCAAACCCGGCCAAGTCCTTAGTCGGAGGTGTGCAGCTCTCCTCGATCAGGCTCTCCTTGTCCCCATCCTGTTTGCTTTTCTGCTTCTCATCCTCCTCTGCAAATTTGATTTTGCAAACAAATTCGATAGGCATGGGGGCAGCCAGGTCTGCGTTTTGGTTTTGTTTTTGATGGCAGCTATCAGCCCTGGATCACTTCCCTCCTACTTCCTTGGCTTTTGTCCTCTGAGCAGGAAACAACTCCAGAAAGAAGAGAAAAAGACAGGAGAGAGTTTGTTGCTGCTGCTGCCGCTGCTGCCTCTGCTGTGACTGATAGTGCTGCTGCTGCTTCTGCCGCCACGGCTCCTAGTGACTAGAGCACTGCTGCTGCTGTGCCGCTACTGCTCTGAACGCTTGTCTCACTACTTGATCAGCTCACACAGTCTCGCTTATCAGCAGTAATACAGCTGTCAAATAAAAAAACACCCTTGTACACTGCCTCAGACCCACAGATGAAAATGCAGCATTTTCAGTCGGACTAAAATAGGCACAGGGTACTTAATAATTCATGAGAAGGTAACATTGTGATTATTTCCTCCTCACTGGCGCGAGCCGCAACTTCCCGCGGTCATCCCAGCACTTCCCGCAGACAGCCCCCTCCTGCCTAATCCACTTGTTTGGACGGGCGCCTCCACTTCTTGACCTGAATAAAGTTGGTGTCAAAGGTTGTTCTGCCAAACATCCGGTGTTTGATGCGCATCGCAGGGGGTCAGCGCTTTTTAATGCCACTCCTAAAGAGTTCTCTAGAGAATCCCTAATTGAAACAATAATGAGGAGTGCGAGAAGTGGAATTGAGCACAAGCGACTCCTGGCAATCAATCTTGTCTTTGCAACAAAAAAGTAAAAGACTATTGATCGAGCGAAGGTGTCTGTCAGAGATTAAGAGAGGCAGTACAACGGTGTTTTCTTATCAGGAACTAATGGAAGCATCACAAGACTCCTGCACGAATTTGAATTAGTGAATGCCTCCTTATCGGGACCCCGATGCTGCTAAAGATGTTGAAATAAAGTATTGATCTGCCTCCGTCCCCATCCTTTACAGTGTGTGTCTTAGTGCTGTTAATGGCCCTTTTCCAAGTTGCCAAACAAAATTATGCAAATGCGAGGCAGAAAAGTGAGAGCCCTAATGCATGTTATTCCCCTTTAAATGGAATTAGTCATGCGGGTCACATTCGCATCACAAGGGGCTGGGACCTCTAGAGAAAAGGCATATTTAAAAGTGAATTCAACCGCTACAAATACACGTGCCAAGTCAAGTCCGAGAGAGCATCAGAAATGCGAGATTACTCAAAAATGCAGAATGAATAAGGGTACAACAGAGACCTGCTTTTTCTTACCCCCCAACCATTTTCTTGATGATGCTGAACTGTAAAACATCATCATTTATGCTTGAAAATTTCTGGCATAATTAAACACTAAATGTTAAGAATAATCAGATTAGAATTCTATAATTAATATCTCTGGCTCGATAAAAATCAGCATCTCCTTTAGGGACAAAACAATGTAACAACAAAAATCCCCAAACCGCCTTTTTTCCTTTATATTTTTTGTCATTGCCTCAGACATTTGCTTTTTATACTTTTTTTCATAGTAGGATTGTCTTTTGATGGTGTGTTCCTCTGCTAGATAAACAGATATCTAGGATATTTCCTTTACTTGACAGAAGTGAAGCATCCATGGTTTAGCTATGCCTCTGGCAGGCACTGAGGTCTGCTAACCACAGAGTGTTTTATGTAGTCACTCCCAGAGGATGCTGGGCTTATTTACAGTCTCACAGAGGAAATGAAAGCTCACAGTCCACGCCATGACTAAATACCAAATGTGAATAAAAAACACGCAGGCACATCTGGCACATGAAAACCATTCAAGGAGTGCATGGCATTACGTTTGTTTGTCAGAGCCAATAACACTCCAAACCCCAGGCCTGTTTTCTGTTTGATGCCCTAAAAATGAGATACAATGGATTAAATGTCGCTGACCTTCAAGTCATTTTTTACACTGTCAATAATGTCTCATTCTGCAGGACTATTTACATTGCAAATGTATTAGCGAGGGCTGTTGTTGGGCTTCAAGGTCACTTCTTACACAACCATAAGTAGCTAGTTTGAATTAAAACTTTATACAGATTATGAATGACATGACCCAAGTGCTTTTCTCCTTTTTAAATACAAGGCTTCTCTGCGAATGGAAATGTTGCAAAATATGCTTGAGAAGGCTAAAAATTGGTTGGTTTATTGAAAAGTAAAAGTAGGAGAAAGAACTGGAAGATGTGAACAGATGATGTCCTCCCTAAAAGAGCAGGCAGACAGTTTTATCATCATCTCGTCCAAAAGCTCCATCTATTGGACGCCTCTGTGGATAACTGTTGCTTTCATGCAAACTGCAGGGGGGCAATTTAGGACACATTTAAATTGACTGAATATTATTAATTAATTGTTTCTGCTATTTGTATATGAAATATGTATTTCAATTACTTTTATGCATTTTGAAATTGTTAAAAAAATCAAATGTAATTTGAAACAAGATACTAAAGAGAGGAGTAATTTTGTATTTTCGTGATGCTCAAAATACTTTCTCAAGGATTCATAAAACATAAAACAAGACTAGGTCAAAAACTAGTATATGGCTGGACTGTATTTAAAGTGCAAGAAGGCTTTTATTTTGAAATGAGCACTTTTAATCTGTTAAAGGAAATGGCAGATTTCACTAAGTCATGGCCTTGCGGACCTACGGACTTTAGCTCAGCTACATCCCTGGACCAGCTGTAGTTGTCCAGGCAACAACTTCTAATAAATACAAGTTACAGCTAAGAACAGTATACTAGACACAGTCACGCAGCAGCAGAAACCTGCTTTCACTGTACCCACTGCTCCTTTCTCCTCCAGTTTACACAACTCTTCCCTCTGCAGTGTCGGTCGGTAAGTCCCCATACAAAATGTAGGAGGCTGCACACCCACTGGTCACAATGCAAGTTCCGCCAATGACGATACTTTGTAAATCTTCCTAGCAGCGCCAATGAATCGGCCAATCTAATAAACTGGTTGACCACTAATATTTTCACATATAAAATTCGACATTTTTAATCCTGACTATAAGAAATGTCATTTTTGAGTAAAAACACAGAGTGCAAACTCATCTGGGATGAAAAAGCCCCCCCCCCCCTTTATAACTATCAGCTTCAGCTAGAAATGTCAATTTCCAGTCAATTTCAGCATGACATTATAGGGAAAAACACAACCTAGAATTAAGGTAATCCTATTACTACAAAAGCAATGTAAGGGAGACATCAGTTCAGGGCAATAAAGCAAAAAACAGCCAAGAGAGTGCAGAGCTGGGTCCAAAACTACATTAAAGTATATTGTAGCTTGTAAAAATTAACAGGGTATTGCTCTTTAAGGCTATTGCAACTGCTGTTTGGTCAACAATAAAGTTTTTAGTAACTGCTTCAAAAGCCTCTCTATCATATAAAATATATCATTATTCCCTCTCTAATATCTTTTTTATAATGATGTAAAAACATCAACAAATTTCTCCTTCATACATTTTACAAGATTACATTTGAACACATGGTGAGAATGTTATAATTTACCTTCGCCCAATACTCATTTTTACTAAAGAGAGCTTGAACCCATCACAATATAGCTAAATGCAACCCCCATCAGGAATAACCATTGGCTGCCTACAGCTAACGTGGACTAGCTCTCCTCCTGCTGATGTCAATGCAGATTTGTTGTCCACAATATAGCATTATCAGAGAGACCTGCTAATTGGCCTTCAAACTATTATGAATGGATATCTGCCAATAACAATCAGTGGCCAGTCGATCGGCGCACCCATATCTGGGTGTGTTATATCTATGATCCTTGCTCATTCCAGACTCTGGCTGCTAAAATTAGAGATAGCATATGGGGAGATTTCATAGCAGCAGCGCAAGGGGGAACACAAGTTAGCATTTGCTTAATCAAAACAACTCGGCCTAATCAGGCTAATTAACAGTCACAAGCTTGACACAGTCATACAAGCCAAGTAAGGCTATCACAACGCTACTGTGAGAGACTCTTAATTCAACTCCCCTTGACTCTTACCTTGCAGACCACCCCCCCTTCAAAAACTTATCTGATCCACACAAATGTCACAAATGACATATTTTGTATTCAAATTTTTCCAAAAGTGACAAGATACGCCCTTGAAAAACACCACATGGCAGAGCTGAACAAAAGATAGAAAGTCAAAGCCTAAAACTTAAAGATATTTGACAGTGAAGAGATACAAACTCTGTCCTGACAGTTGTATCCAAAGGTAAACCTCCTGGTACAGGGGCTTTTGGGGGTCCAGGAACTATAGCAAAGGAACTAAAATTAGACCCTGGTTCCTCCAATCAGAACACAGTAAAGGTTCCTAAGTTATTGGAAAAGTTCCATTGGAAATAGGCTATTATGCTGGTCTCTCGCCAGTAAGTCTCTGTTTTAAACCAGGCTATATAGGAGAGCATACTGTACTGTACATGCTGAAATATTAATCAAAATCAATATAGCATTTTACCCCCCCACCCCCATTGGTAAGCAAAAGTCATTTATAATAGTCAAGGCAAAACTTTCTGAAGAAAAGTTTGTGCTTGCTTCAGTTAAAACACATTTCATTGCCTTTCATGGAACCTAAAATCCCCAGTTAGCCAAAACTGTGAGGCCAGTCTCTTAGTGATCAGTGACGGTCATATAACCTTTACTAACAAACGTATATTAAACCGAACAGATGTTTGAACCCTGAAGTTTTTACTTACAGGAACAGCCAGACACCAGACCAGACAAAATGTTGGCATTATGCTTTCCTGCAAACCATGAATATGTTATTATATCATATAGTGACGTAATGTATGAGTTGACTTTGCCATCAGGGGGTTGAGGAGATGGTGGGTGGCAAGTCACCTTGGCGAGACAGCTGCCAAGCCGGTTTGGCTTTAGCAAGTCATTGCTTTATTGCCAGCTGCTTTAAAGGTTCAAAACTTGAGTGTTCTGTAGTGATCTGTGAGTGGATATAGTGCCAAGAAAACCTAGTAATATGCAAGTGTAACTTATCCATGGTTTGCAGAAATGTATGATGCCAACATTTTGTCTGGCGACTGGACTGGCAGGAACCTTTGTCTTCAGGAGGCAGCTAGCAGCTGAACTACAGCATCAACCAGGAGACCTGCTTTACAAAAGAATCCTCTAGACTCATTAGCCAAGCACCAAACACTACAGTATGTGAGCTGGATAATCTTGTGTGAATAGGAAGTTGTGTGAAACATGGAAAATTACAAAATAATTACTGTAGTATTTGAAAAATGTGAGAGGCAGCAGAAGTACCTAAACATGATGGTGTTTTAAATGTAAATTACATTAAGGTAGAAACTTTAAGTTAAAAAGGAAAAGAAAGATTTAGCCTTCAGTTTCTATGGCAGTGAA